CTCTATTACTACCCAAGAATGATACTTTTGGTTAAAAAGAAAAAACAAACAAAACACCTGTGAGAAGGTGACACATTGCATTGAAGGGGAGATGAGGCTTCACAAAGCTTGCATATAAAGGACACATATTCATCGGTGTGACTTTGGAATATTCCCAGAGCTTGCTGCTTCTCAGCTGGGAGGAAATTCTGCAGTGAGGTTGTTCATACAGTAAAAGTCACAGTAATGCTAGACACTGGTGCCCACAACACCAAGTCTAAAGACAGGCAGCAGTTCACAACGGATCCACGTAACTTTCAAACGACTATGATTTGAATACAGGGGTGGCATTTTAATGGCAGAAGGATGAAAGCATAGCTTATCTTCTAGAGAGAATAAATGAACAAAGCCCAGTACTGCTGCTACTGTGGACTGGAGGGAGTGGTTAGATCGCCTCCATCGCTGTGAGCATGTTGAGCGCTTTCTCTGTAGAATGGGTGAGGGCACAGGCAATCGAGGTGGATGAAAAGAAAAAAGAGAAAGAAGGCACTGACCCAATTCAAAATAACTGCACACTTCAGTATGTTTTGTTGAGGACAATTCAGTGGCCACCTCAAACCAAATATAAAATTTTACATTTGAGCTTCTTTAGTGGCGAGTAAAAACAAAAATTGAAAATGCAGAAATCACATACTATTTTTTGCCAGTGTTATCTATCATGGCACAGATCTAGAACTCTCTCCCACAACCAGAGTTTATTTTTCACAATGACAATGATCCCAGTGTATTAGAAAGCAGTGCTATTACCTGGTAACTTTTGGAGCTACACCTTGTTCAGAGGCATATACAGTAAAATGCCAGGGTTAACATCAACACCTGTGGCTTGTGGGGCTTCCCCAGCTGCAGCTCTGCCTAACTTAAATCTAGCAATGACTCAGAGCTCTCTTCTGCCAAAGACCATTACATGACACACAAGTGAATAAAAATGGATTCTTCTGGAATGGCAACAAAATCTTCTGTTCTCTACCCCCCAACACTCTGGACGAGGGGCTTATAGTACGTGGTACAGATGACCACTAAAGCCTGGCCTTATATAGAGTCCCAATAAATTAACAAATAACATAAAAGAACCTTCCCCCATAAGACACCCAAACACTTACACATAAACTAAATCCAAACAAAATGTAAAATTTGAACACACTCTCAAGGAGAAGGGATTCCACCCATCACTCTCTCTTGAACTTTTTATTAAATACATTTCTGTGTCTTAGAAAAATAATAAGAACGGCCAATTTATTGAACCAAAATAATCTCACAGACTTAGAAGCATGCCCAGCAAGCACAGCCGTGTAAGACTACATTAATGTCAAATCAAAGCAATTTGGTTACTAAAATCAACCTGGCTTGAAGTTCACAGTTGATCCCTACAAAGTTTATTCATTCCTTTCTTTCCTTTTTTTTAATTTTTTGTTGTTGTTTTGGGCCCATATAAAAATAACATATTGCAACTCAAAGTGCATCTTTTAAAATAAACCATCAGCTATCTTTATCAAATAAAATATTTACACCATTTGGTTTCTAGTGAGGAAAGCTGTTTCAGGCTATCACCATGGGGACGTCGTCTGAAAATCCAGTAATCATAGGAGCATCTTCATCGTCCTCCCCTAAAGACAAAACAGTCAGGCTTTGTGAGTTCCAGCACACAGGACCCGAGCCCATGAGCCACTGCTCTGCCCACCCCCACCTTACCCACCCCCAGCTAAACCCACAGCATCGCTGGCCACTCACAATCATCAGTCCTAAACTCGGCTCCTCTCTGCTGCTCTTAGGTCATCATCCCTATCAATAGGTGAGCAAGCTTATTTTAGCGGCAGCTTTAACTTATTAGACAAATAAAGCAAGTCAAACTTGAAGGAAGAAGAATCTCATTGCCTACTCTAAAACAAATGGGTAGTTTCGGTTCCCCAATTTGAGTTATTCACACCCAACATTAGCACACCATACTTCAGTCTGCTTTCTCTTTTGAACCCAACCTGTTTTGAGAAAAAGAAGGGGGATTAAGAACTATGAGCCCCACTTCCCAGACTAATGGCTGTCCCTTTGACATTCCTGGTATGAGCCTGTGCAACTAAATGCTGATCCACAGTTAGTGGGGACTGCATGGCTCGGTAACAGGGTGAGACTTTTTGTCCCCAACAGCGGCAAGCAAAGAAGCCACCCATTCCTTACTGATTAAGCAAGGAAGGCAGCTGAGAAGTAAGCAGGGCTCATCTCATATGATCAGTGAGAGGAAATACATAAATGTCTTTATAACAAAGAAAAATAATCATAACTGGTTTATAGGAAAAGTAAGTATGCAAACTCACATTTAGCAGCCTGAGTTGAGGTGCTAAATAAAATACCCACTTTCTTATATAAAGTGGTTTACAAGTTCTCCTAGTGTTCAAGAAGAGCAGTGTGCAAAGGTTTTAAGAAGGGACGAAACGATCTCCTTCCTTCTCCCACAATACATGTTATCACAACATAAAGTAAGAATGGCTGATGAGGCTGCACTAGCAACTGGAAGGGGAAAGAGTCGCACTAAAGGGCATCTTCTGATAGAAGCCGACTGGGGAAGCACTACTTTTGTCTTTACCAGGCTCTCCAGCCCAGGCACCCACACAATTCAAAATCACTGCATATACCAGTCTGACCTCAGGTCTGGGAAGAACAAGACAAGAGGAGTCAGATGGACGTTCTTGAGAATTTTCCCATAAGCAGGGTGTCTAAAGCCCATGGCCTTCCTACACAAGGCACGCTCCTACTAGTTCTTCCCTATTTCAGGTCAAACTACACTAGTAAACAGAACATAATACTTTAATTTCGGAGCAAGGTATAAGCCATGAGTTCCAAATGGTTTAACCCTAAGCAGGGAATCACTAGCTAATGAACAACTCCTCTCATGTCAAAAGTTAAGCTGGAGGCAGGTACTTCCCAATCGGATCAGTGGCCCTGCCACTTACCCAGATCATCCCCCGAGGAGAAGATTGCTGAACCCAGCCTCGAGCTGTAGTGGCTGTTAGCAAAAGCAGTGAAGCTGCTCTGTAACCTCCGATGCTTTGTGTACAGGATGGCAAAGCCGACCCCCAGGCTCAGCAGTATCAGGAACAGGATGGGAACCACCACGGCAGCAACATCAGTAGATCTGGTAGCCTGAATGGCTGCAGTATCTCCCCCTGCAGAGGCACAATTCCCAACCATGAGCCTCCTTCCTGAGGGTAGGAGAATGCACCAGGTGGCTCTGCAAGGCCCCACCTACCAAAAAAGCTAGAAGTTCAGCACAGCTACCCAATCACCTGTCTGCTGTGACGCGTTCCTGCATGTGCACGAGGCCTGAATGTTTCCCAACCACTCGCCCTGAGTGACAGACCATGGGCCTTGCGCATGCTAATGCGGTAATTACATTAGCCTCCTAATCACTGCCTTGTTGGTTATTTAGATAATCTCTTGGAAGGGAGACCTTTGTTGGGGTATCAACATTGATTTCATTAGCATTATTACTTAAGACCACTTGCTCGCCTTACATAAGAGGATGTGAAATCAGACCACTAATTAACGAGATTGCAATTATTTCCCCCTACTTGGCACCAAAGTCACTCTGAACTGCAATTACCTGAAGCTCCATTAAGTGATACAAACGAGATTCCTTTACTACAATACTGACTTAACAGCTCGTGAAGTTTTACAAGGTTTTTTTTTTAAACTTAAGTAAAAAAAAAAAAAAATGAGGGAGATCACCTTTCCATACACCTTTAACATTTTTTAAAGTTCTCTGCAAAGCCATTTAGATGTTTATAACCTAACAAAGAGGCCACTTCCCTGGTCTTATAGAAATGCAGTCTTATTATGATTTACAGATACAATCAAACCACTGGGGCTCAGGGGCAAGCCATCCCTCTCCAACACCCTTGTTGGGGAAGGGGCCGCCATCTTGAAAGGGGGTAAACTGTTCATGTCAAAAGCCCCTAAGGGAGCAGGGCTAGTCTGAACCTGAGGCAAGAAAATGGAGCTTAAGAGTCCATTTTTAGCCAAGGAGGCACTGTGGACTTTTCTGGTCTAGGTTTCCATAGGCTTGGGGGTTATTCTCCAGTGTAGTGGGAGGTGGCCCAGCCAAGGGATCTGCTACCCAGGGATTCAGCCTGGCAGGATACTCACAAAGATGGTCCAGAGATCAGTCATCTCTGCTAAACCTAATCCAGCAATTTAATATTCATGCCTTTATTTAAAATTCTCTCGTTTATTTTCTTTAAAAAAAAAAAAACTTTGGAAAAAATACTGTCAAACTCTTATTTAATGTGTCCTAGGCCATCCCAACTGTGCAGTGGTAAATAAGAAAAGGCTGGAGCTCAGTGGAGGCATCAGGAGTGCGAGCTCCAGATGGTCCTCATTTCAGAGGCAGCTGGTCCGGTCCTCACAACAGGTTTTCCTGGAGTATACTGCACAGGTTGCTAGCTAGTTTCACTTGAAAACTGGGTGCTACTAAGAAAACAGGAGGTTAACAAGAGTTCTGCTGTCTGTTTTTTGTGGGACCTTCTCAGAGCCTCTGATTCGCCATGATTCACCAGAGGAAGGTGGACAGCAGGGCTCCCTCTTTTAGGAGGATGAGTATTCTGCATGATCATACCCAGGAAATATTATGTGCTGGAACACTTAACAAATTAACACAAGATTTTGGCTTGAGCCCTGGTTAGTTCTTGGCTGGGAGTGAATGTAACTAAAAAGACCAGTGGCAAAATGTTTGTTGAAATCCTGGCCAAGCTATGCCGGTGCAAACAGACTTTGGGTAAACCATGAGCATGGCCCAGCACTGGTATCTATGAGTTTCCTAAGACGTAGCCCAGGCCCAAATTGGGATCCAGATCTGAGGCTGACAACTCAGATGACCGGAGGGCTAGGTGGTCAGTTTCTTCACACTGAGGAGAAGAACTACTGACTTGCAGGATCACAGGGTGTGTTAGCATGTTAGAGGCTCTGAGAAGTCCTGCAAAAATGAACAACAAAACTCTTGCTAAGCTGATGTTTCTCACATTGCACCTCCATTTTAAACAAAATGTTCCCTTTCTCGTACTTTGCAATCAGAATATGGTCACCTTGTAAACTCAGCTTCATGCTATACCTGGCTCAGAATTTGTTAACTAAATCTGTACCTCATGATATGGAGACCTAAATGACTTTCCCCTGAGCTGAGAGAACATTTCAAGTGTCTTTAGAAATAGACACATGTTCATTGGACTATTCTACATCCTTCCTCTTTCCCCAGAAGGGACAGCAGAAACTGGGTGCAGGGCAACTTACCAGACCCCAGCTCGTCATACAGTAGGACAGCAGGCTCCCCACAGATCTGGCTGCCAAAAAGACATCGTGCTTGGACAGTGAAAGTATAATTATGACCCATCTTCAGGTTGGAAATTTTAAAGAAATTGTCAGTAGTATTCCCAAGGTAAGCTGTGAGATTCATGGCACTATCAAACATATGTATCTCGTAGCCCTGAAAACAAACACACACAAGACTGCTCAGGAAGTCAAATAAGGAACCCAACAGCTTCTACTACTGGTTCCAGCCATGTCTGAGCCCCTTACTGCAGCTTTTATAGATGCTAAAGCACTTTGAGTTTCTCACTAGCTTTTTTTTTTTTTTTTAAAACATTACCATGGAGACACTGCATTCAAAAAACAGGAATTTTCCCATCCCAGCATTTCAACTAGCAACGGCACCCACTTGGGAACTGAAGACTAAAAGTGAAAAGTGTGGCCCAAGGAAAGCTATTTCAGCATATATACACTCAAAGTTCTGATCAGCAGTCACTTGTCTCAAGCAATATTCAATACCATAAAGAACCTGGACTCTTCAGCCACAGTTCGTAGTATGGGATTTGACTCATACTAGATCACCCCCGGCGTGGCCTCCAGCAATAGGTAAGACAAGGGAATTTACAATCAGAAAGGACAGTTTCTCCTTAGTGCAGTATTTAGGAAGGCCACTGCCAGCTTGCTTCCTTTCTTTCTAGCTCTTCCTAAGCTGATCCCAGGTCTGACCATCTTGGCTGTGATAAAAACATTTCAGAAGGCATAGGCACCTGTGCATGGGAGAAGGGGATGGGATAATCTTCTGGACTATGTCGGAAGTCTCCTGCCTGAATTCCTGTGAGGGAAGTCACCCTCTGACAGTGCTGACCCAGGATGCTGGATGGCATCAGGCTGACTACTGGATTTCTCTAGTGATTCCAGTGTCAAAGCTATAAACATCCATTTCCAGTGCCTCAAAAATGATTCCATCCATTATCTCTATCCTCATAGGGGACCACTGCGTAATCAGTGATTTCTTGTTCACATTACGTTGACCTGTCTAGTCTCCCAACTCCAAGCCAGAGAGAAGGGGAAAGGGCAAGCTATGCTGATGCCAGGACCCTCTCCTAGGAATGGAACACTGACCTACATGCAACCTCAACCTAAAAGCTGGGCTTCTGCCATCCCCAGGCAGCATCACCTAATGGCTAATGGAGGCCAAACATGGCTTTATGGCACCTGCCTGGCATCCCATCCCTGTAGTTATTTCTATAAACTAGCAATTTATACTGACTATCTAACATATATTCAGTCTAGGACATCTGTAAAACACACAATAACATAAAGAAAATAATTTAGATTACACAAACATCAACAACCTAAACTTTATTTCAATAGTTCTCTTCTGTTGGGAGTTGTTTCTTCTATTATTAATTAATGCATATAAATTTTTATGCACATTGCTTCCTAAGAGAAAACTTCTGGAAGAATTGCTAGATCAAGAAGCGTGAACACTTTCAATGTTTTTGATACATATTACCAAAGGACCTTCCAGGAGGGTGAACCAACATGTATTCTCTGAGTGCTTTGTTCCCCTGATCACCCACGTTGATGACACACACTCTTCCCCCGGGGTCTTTGCTGATTTATACAAGTGCCTCATCCTTGTTGTTTGGACTCTCAGTGAGGTTAAACCTTTCTCCTCTGGCTTACTGCTGCTGGAATTTTTTTACTTCCTTAACTATACCTTTTTCAAATGGGAACATTTATTTTGAATTGATCCAACAACATTCTTAGTATCTAAGGATATTACCATTTACATGTCGTAGCTGGGAAACTCTCACAGAGTGATGAGGATTTTCAAGTTTGACTTGAGCTTTGCTTGTGACAGTGCACTGTGACTGCTGAGGCCCCTTGGGCCCTTGGTCTGCACTGTTCCTCCAGGGAGCCACAGCTGTGTTGAGTCCCTGTTGAGCTCATGCCTTGTGGTCAGGGAAGCCAACCTAGATCCACTCAAGACTGTCCACTACCAGGTGGAAATCACCTAGGTCCTGCTCTCCTTTCCCTAACCCCTGATGTGGATGCAGCATTGGTTGCCAATGACAAAACAAAACAAAGCAAAAGGTGTTTTTCATAAGTCAACAGAGTAGATTCAAGTATTTCCTACTCCCTCTATTTCCTTTGGAAGGAAGTGATGATGTGCCATGATGGCAGCATGGCCACAGCCCCAGGCCTCGGAGTGACTGGGGCAGGTGGGCTCTTGGTTCCAATGCTGAGCCCTGGCCCAGCTTCAGGAAGCACAACAAGGGCTCCAGCCCATTTTTCTTTCTTCTGGGGAAGACAAGTACAAGACTGAAAAGTGCTTAGTGTAGAGATTCTCATCTTTAATGTGCAATATAAACATTTTGCTAATTAGCAATCCCATAGAAATGGTCCTTTAATTCTCAAGTTCACGTTGATGCCCTATACTTTCTTCCTCCCCCCGCTTTTTTTTACACTTTCTACACCAGCATGCTGTTAACGAGCTCTTCTCTAAAATACCATTTCAATTACATTTCCAAAGTCATTGTGAATAAGGGAGGAACTTACCCTGCTTTCATTAAAATGCTTTTCCTTTAAAGCTAGACTTTTCCAAAACAGAAGAACGTGATCATTTTCTGTTATGATTTTTAAGGCATCAGGTGCTGATAATGAAACTGAAAATTAAAGATGAGATAGGATGCAGTTAGTGCATATATACTTAAACCTCCATTTTTCTGTTGTTAAAGAGAGATTAAATAATACTAGCCTCAGAGGTCTGGGTTAAGGAAGGAAAAAAACACATACCTGCCTAGCATAGAGCCTAGCTAGCACACGGTAGATACCTTCAATTGGCATCTTGTTTGCTGTGGATAGAACAATCTTAGCCAAGAAGCTTGGACAGTAATAGTTCTCAGACATAAGGATGGACAAAACCAAGATGGGGCAGGGGATGGAGGGAAGGGGAGGGATGGAACAGGAAAGGGACTCTGCAGCTCCTTTGAATGGCAGCTGAGCAAACTCAGGGCCCCTGTTCATACCACAGCCCAAATGGGGCTGAGCCTCCACTACTAGTACTCCTGATACTGTCTGATGTTGTCTAAGTAACTGGGCTTATCATCTGCTTTCTGAATTTGAGACTGACTACCCTCTAATTTACTTCCCGAGATGTTGGTCTCCCTCCGTTTCCATGTCAGACTGCACCAATGAATCCCTGTGATGTCAGGGTAGGTCCTCAGATGCAATGCTCAGCCTGAGTGGTAAATATTCAGTTATATTTCCTAACTCTTTTGTGCTTTCCTCCTCTTCTCCCCTACTAATGCCAAAACGAGCTAGGAGAGAGGAGGTTTTTAGAATGTGGAGAATATGGAAAACAAGAGCCACTCCCCAGTCCCCTGGGCCCTGGCTATCTCACTGCAGCCCAGATCTGCTGTTCTGCTGCAGTGTGGACACTGAAGAGCAGTGTTTGCAGGCTGTGGGCAATTCCTGATGGACAGCTCCTGACAGGTGGTCCAGCACCATGGGCATTCTGCTGGGCAGGAAGGCTTCTTATCTCTCTTTTACTTACCTGTGGTGATTTTTATGCTGGAATCTTTGCTCATGTTCCCCAGCTGGACAATGACATGGTATTTCCCTCCAGGTTCCAACTTGTTAAGGGTGTACTCCATGGTACTGTTGCGGGATTTTACTTTGTAGCTCCTGTCAGTCTTTCTTATCAGATCTTTAACTGCAATTGCATAGAACTAGGACAAAAAAAAAAAATCAGAGTGGTAATCAGAAACTTGGTATTCTTCATTCTTCATAGTTCAATGGCAGACAATGTAACCCAAGTACAGGTATCCCTCATCTCTAGGGACCTGGTTCTAGGGCCCTTGTGGATACCACATCCCTTATACAAAATGGTGTAATGTTTGCCTACAGTCTACAGACGTCTTCCTATATACTCAACGTCATCACTAGATTACTTGTAATAGCTATTACAATGTAAATGTTGATATACAGTATTGTTTAGGAAAAAATGACAAAAGAAAACACCTGTACATGTTCAGTGTAGACAATTTGTTTTTCGAATATTTTCAATCTGCCTTTGGTTGAATCCATGATATGGAACCTACGGGTACAGAGGGCTGACTACAGAGTGACTGTGACCCTCCATAATATTCTGAGTCCCAAAGTCTGACTCTGTTCTTTGATATGTCTTTGGGGTAGCCAGGGCCAGCCTTTTTAATAAATATGTACTCAGAACTTACACAGATTTGAGGGAAAAAAGAAAAAGTCACCAGGAAAAGCCACATTTACTGTGGCATCCGGAGCTAGGTTAGGACAAATGAGAACACTGAAATTCAGTACTTGACTTCTGTATCTCCAACACTGCAACAGTTATGGTATTGTCAGTGGAAAGACAATGAACAAGTGTTCAATGCTGGTTCTACTGGACAAAAAGCTCTATGTAACTCTCCCAGGCTGCTTCTTTATATATGAGGGCAGGGAATAAAGGGACACGCAGTAAGCACAGGAAACCCAGTCATCAGGAAGAAGCGGAAAGTCAAGGAGTCTTAGAAATCAAGCATTATTAAAACTGATCACCCCCAATATGAAGAGGGGCAAAGGTAAAAGCAATCTGAAGCAAGGAGAACTGGGAGGTGTTTCCTAGGATCAAGGCCCCTTTTCTAAACAGGGGTCAGCAAACTTTCAGAAAAGGTAAATATTTTAGGTGTTGGGGGCCAGATGAGGACCAGTGTGGTCACTAATTAACTCTGCTGTTTGAAGCATGAGAGCAAACACAGACAATATGTAAACAGATGGGTGTGGCCTGGTTCCAATAAAGCTTTATTTAAAGAAAATAAGCTGAATTTGGTCTGTGGGCCTTTGTTTGATGACCTGTGTCTCAGAGGGTCAAGGAAGGGGATAAGTTAATATGGCAGCCAGGAAAAACAGAGGAGCACCAACTAAGACGAGGCAACTCTAAGAATATGATCAAGTCAGAAATGGGGTGAGTCCTGCTGACTCCACCTCCAGGCCTGTGTTTCCTATCCATTGCTGGACTCTCTTTAGCCCTTCCCAAGGCATGCTAAGAATAAGCCAGGCTGCCTAGATGCCTAGCCTGCTCACCAAGTCCTGGTCAGGAGAGTCGTATGGTGATTCCCACTTGATGACAGCCGAGGTTTTGCCTGTATGAACCACATGCAGGTGACGGGGTGGAAGCCTGCTGTCTGGGATCATCTTCACCACAACATAGTCAGAGGATGGCCCTTGGTAAGGTACCACCACCCGGACCTACGGCCAAGTACACACACAGAAAAATGATACCATGTGAGCTCACACAATCTTTACTATGCTCTCAATAAAAGTGACGTACACCAACTAAAATTCAACTCATAAAAAAAGAAGTAAAATATAAAGTAATTCCCAACCTAGCCCAGACCGTTTGCCACTGCTCACAGTTTTTTTATGCTTCCTTCCAGAAATATCCTATGCACACACAGACATAGATGTGAGTGTATAAATTCATAATATATGCCCGTCCGTATGCGTGTGTCTATGTAGTCTTTCTTAAATAATCTTACACAACTGAGGAAACAGTACACATATTTTGCCCCTCACTTCTGATCCTTGACACAGGTTAGCAGTTTTTCCATATCAATACCTTTGGAGCTGTTCTTTCTTTTGTTGCTCTGTGTTCCATTTCCTGGACAAGCCATAATATTTTTAGCCATTCCTCTCTTGATGTACATTTAAGTTGTTTCAAGTCTTTTTACTGTCACAAATGCTAATGGACCAAACATCTTTTTCCATCTGTCTTGGCACATGTATAAGAGTATGTAGGGTAAATTCCAAGAAATGGAATCTGACAAAAGGTTTTGATTTATCTGTCTCTGTTATCAGTCCTCCCTTAAGGAGATGCAGCTGGGTGTTTGTGATGCTTATGAAGAAGAACTTTCCTGCTATCATGCACACCAATGCTGGAATCCAGATGTCCAGCTCCCCAGATCCAGATTGAACTCAGGAACCCAGGACTTAAGACATCCCTTAAAAAATGGGAACTCCTTTTGCCTCTCATTCAGGAAACTTACCAGAAACAAATACTGCTCATCCTGACTGACGATGACTGTCATGTTATGGAGTGAAGTAGTCAAGCTCTTCGGGTTTCGATAGAGGTCAAGAAAGGATGTAGCATAGAAGATACCATAAACCTGATAAAAGCAGAGAATGGAAACAACATCAGCACATGGGCCAGCGACCTCATGATCTCAAAATCCCTCATTTAAGATCCTGCAAATGCTTCTAAAGAGCTCCAAGAGAAGTTTTCCTTCCATATTCATTACGCTGACAGCACTTACAGAGCTGCACGTGCATCAGCACAGGTCAACACCATGCGCTCTCTGTCCCCAGAGAGCTCATTCTTGAGGAGAATCAGGCACGGAAGAAAAACAGGCATATAACAAGGTGCATTCAGAGCGTCAGATAAAACACTAAAAGAGGGCATAATGAGCCAGAGCCAAGAGGGGGCTTACCAAAGAGGGGGTACATGCTAGCACAGTGCAGCAGGGACATGGAGAGCCAAATTTTATTTTGGATGTGCAGAGTGGACAGGAAATCCACAGAGTTTGTAGAGTGAGCATGATAATCTCACAAGTGTGTGGAGGAAACACAGGAGAAAAGGCACTGTCAGGTCCCGGAAGATGCCAGTTCTTCGTTTTTTAGTAGAACCGTGGTTCTTAGTGAGAACTATTTGGAAAGAAAGTCTGCACTTCCCACTCCCTGGGAGCTAAGGGAGGCCACGTGATGGTTCCAGCCAAGGAGATGTAACTAGAAGTGTCCTGTGGGAAGGTCTGGGAGGGCTCATTATAATGGAGAGGGGGCCCTTCTTGCTGCCTCAAGTACAGGTAATAGCTGTAGCTCTAGGAGAGCTCCTGGACCATGCGGTGACATTGAAGATGGATGCCACAGGCTGGAGATGGCTGGAACCTGTCCCGGACCCAACTGTGCTGCTATAACAGGAGCCCTGGACTGCTTACCTCCAAACTTGTTTTAATTGAGAGGGAAACAAACTGTTTAAAGAATGGTTTCTTTCAGTTCCCCTGTTAACGCAGCCATTCTTACTTCTGCTGGTACATGTAGGAAACACCCAGAGTTTCCAGTGGGGAAAGGGGATCTGATGAGGCTTGCAGCAGGGCGTGAAAGCTGAGTGAGCTTGTGATGAAAGGGTAGGAGTTGAGGAAGTTTCTTTGTAAGAAGAATCAGAGCATTTTCTCCAAGAGCACGTGAGCAAAAAGATGGGGCTGAAAATTATACAAGTTTGGAGGAGTGACAGAAAGGGACAGGGGACTGATCAGGATGTGCAAAGTATTTCCAAGGCCAGATAACAGTGCAATTTTCCCTAACTCTGCTCAGCATCAGAAGAACTGGAGAGGGGAGAACAAGGGTAGTGAAAGAGGAAAGGAGGCCCCAGGAGTGATTAACTGAGCATAGGTGGGGAAGTGGGGAAAAGGAGTCAGAAAGCAAATGCAAATGGAACAGGAATGGAGAAATGAGGGAGCCACGAAGCTCAGATGGGATGCTGTAGTCAGTGTGGAGGCTCAGAGCTCAGGATAACGTCTCTCTGTGACGGGGCCTATGGCTCCATGGGGTAGGGTGGCGATGGGCAGGAACGGGTTCATGGAATACATGAACTGAGGAATAAGAAGGTTCGCCACATGGACAGTGGCGATGGCAGTTCTTGAGGTGAAGAGGAAAACCAAGGGCTGCCAGAGCAGAGTGCTCAGTGAACTGAAGAAAGAGCCGGAAGTGAAAGTTCCCACAGGCAGCTCCTTTGATCTCTCACCTATGAAAGCTATGATGCATGTGACCAGAGCACAAGTCAGGACCAGCACAGTATGGCTGCTTCTCCAAGGTCACACGTAATCAGTGACCCTGAGATTAAGTGGTGTTCCAGCATTCCTACATTATGCCCTACTCTGGGAAGATAGCTGGGTGTGACAGACGACCCTCCCGAGCTGGGTTTCTCAATAGAGAAAAAGGTCCCTTTGCAAGTAGAATCTACTTTGAGGTAAAAGGGAATCCCCAAGAGGGCTAAGGGCTGCCTCGGCATCACCTTCTGAGTCATATAAAAGAGCAGAGGCTGTTAAATAAAACTTCTCATGAAGTCCGTGATCCAAGTTGAGTCCCCAAGCCCAGAAATATGCCACTCTCTACCTGCATGAGGTCTACACAGTAACAACAACATGTGGTACTATTTCTTAGAAGCCAGGACAGGGCATGGTAAGGGATACTGGGGCTGGGATGGCAGGTGCCTCCAGAGCTAACCAAGAGGATGGTTTGTGTGGGGTAGGAAAGGAAGAACCAGCAGCAGAAAGGAGCCCTGGGTCTGTCCTGTGGCCTTACATCAAGGGAAGGTCCACACTCCAGCTGTGATGGTCACTCTGGCAGACTTACCACATTCCTGGGGCCAGTCCAAGAGCATTCCACTGCAGTCTGGTTGATGGCCTTGGCTTTGAGGCTTGGAGCAGGTGGGCGAACCCCTCTGGTTACCACATGCTCAAATGCCAGAGGACTGTCTCCCAAGTCAGTCTTGGCCCAAGCAGAAATCTCGTAGGATGTATGAGCTGTCAGATTACCAACTGTGAAAACAAGGAGATGCCCGAAGAGAGGCGGGGTGTTAATTCAGAATTTGTGTCAATATACACGTGCTATTTAAAAAAAATAATCTCTCAATTTAGTCAGTCATGTAGGACTTTGTTAATTTACAAGTTTATTTAACACTTATTTACAGATGAGCAGTCATGTAATACAACCTCAAGGGCACTGGGAAATTTCTCTTACAGCTGACCATCTCAGGATAAAATAGGTAAAACACTCCTGGATAGCCATTGGCCCTGTATTAGAGGAGTCTTGAAAAATCATGCCCTTCCAATCAATTATGCCATAAAATCAGAGAGGGATTCAAAAATCTGCAAATGAGGAGATCATCTCAATGTCTGTTGCAGTAGAATAAACTGCTTGACCTGACTGGCCACAGGGCAAGAGCTAAATCATGTGTGTCCCACAAACTACTATGCAACCTCTAAAATTTGTTCCAAAGAATATTTATTGACACTGGAAAATCCTTATGTTACATGAAAACAGAAGGATAAACTATATATAGTATTATTCTGATTTTGTAAAGATAGAGAGATCAATGTGTAAAAAAAAAAGTGGAAATATCTGAAATATAAAGTGAAATTAAAGAAAATTCCATTACACATTTTATGTCTTCTAACATTTTCTGAAATAAACATGTATTCCCTAAACTACATTAAGAGTGAACAAAGGGAGAACATGTTAACAGAATAACCTTTGGAATCAGAAGGACGAGGGTTCAAGGCTTAACTTTACCCCTTGTGGCTGTACCTCTGTTATGGTTTGGATGTGAGGTGTCCCCAAAAGCTCACGTGTGAAACAATGCAAGAAGGTTCAGAGGAAAAATGATTGGGTTGTTGAGAGCATTAACCCAATGAATAAATTAATCCCCTGACAGGGATTAACTGAGTGGTAACTGAAGGGGTAGGGTGTGGCTGGAGGAGCTGGGAACTGGGGTGTGACTGTGGGGTATATACTCGTTTCCGACAAGTGGAGTCTCTCTCTGCTTCTTGATCACCGTGTGAGCTGCTTCCTCCATGTTGTTCCTGCCTGGAGCCCCGAGGAATGGAGCCAGCCTTCTATGGACTGAGACCTCTGAAACTGTGAGCCCTCAATAAACTTTTCCTCCTTTAAAATGGTCTGGTCAGATATTTTAGTCATAGCAGTGACTAAAACATCCTTGGTAAAGTATTTAAACCCCTCTGGCCTGTTTTCCTGTTTGTAAGATGGAGGAAAAATAATAGTACTTGAATAGCAGCTGGCTGTTGCGGGGATTAAAAGTAAAGTACCTGGCGTGAGGCCCTGCATCGAGCTGCCTCTTCATAGATTTCAGGCAACAGCTACCAAGATTATGCCTAACTTTGCTGATTATATTGGTGTAACACTGAGGCAACGGGTCACAGGCTTTGGAACTGGAAAGATATGGGTTCCAATCCTGGCTCTGCTGCCTTGTGAGAGCACTGCTCATTCTCTGAACCTGTGTTATGCCTCCAAAAGATGAGCACCCCTCACAGAATTATTATTTGGGTTATGTGAGACAATAGCCCCAGTAACACCTTGGTAAAAGCACACAGTAGGTGCTGAATGTAATTTTTCCCCCTTGCATGGACTCCTTATACAAATTATTTAATCTAGTAAATATTCAGATTCAAATAAGAAAAAAAGGGGACAATTACAGAAAACCTATAGTTTCTGTCTTATAAGACAAAAACAAGAAATGAATAAAACTGACTGAAAGTACTTTTCAAACAGGCTAGAAGCAGAGGGACGGGGAACGCTCCTGTGTCGTTCTCAACATTCACAGACAGCTCTTAGTACTCAACTTTTTGTCTTAGAAATAAAATCCACCCTTTAGCCCATTTTCAGACACAAAAATTTTAGTCGAGGCATGCTCTTTGCAGATGCAAGGACTGGACCCCTCCCTTCCTTGGTTTGTCTGTCCACTCATTCAGTCAACAAATATTTTCTGAATGCCAATCATGTCCCAAGTCTCATGCTACCTCTTATTAGAAGGGGACTGAACTAGGCTAGAAAGAGACAGACAACTAAATCTAGGAATCTGTTCTGATGAAGCACAAAAATCATGTGCCGACAGTTAATCTGGTCTCTTTCCAGTTCTTTTCTGGAGCCTGGAGCCTGCCACTTCCACTTAAGGCCAATGGGTTAGGAGGAGGATTGAGCTACCAGTGAGTGAAGCCTTCTAACTAGAGTCAGGAGTCCTTTTACAGTGCCCTCAGTGGACAAGGACCTGGCCATGCAAAACCACCTCCAGAGAACTCTGCCCAGCACCCCACACATGCTCTGCTGCCAGGAAAGTGTTGGTGCAACCTTCGCTTCTTCCTGCTCAAGTACCACGAGATACAAAGTGTTACCTTTATGAGACAGTATGCTCCCTCGGAAGTTCAAGGTTTTCTTCTCTTGTTTGTGGGCGTCAAATGTCCAGAAAAGGTTCACCACATAGCCATTCACCTGCCAAGATATGGGAGACGCATATCATAATCAGCGAACAGCCATGGGATTCACCAACTACAAAAAGCAGGCTTCTTTAGATGTCTCATTTTTTTCAATGGATGGGCGGTTTCTTTTTAAACAAGTTCTATTTGTGCTACCATTAGTATTTAGCCATCCTCCATCTACTTCTAAAAACAAATGTGAGATCATTTATAATATAAAATGTATTTAACAAACAGAAAATGAATACAGAATAGAAAGACAAGAACCAATTAATAAAGGTGAAAAAGGGAAAAAAAATGCAAAGATAATTAGGCCAAGATAATTAAGGGAAAAACTCAGCTGGGGCTATCCCTGCAGTCAAGGCTAACAGTTCAATACAAAGCTGGCTGGTGAGCTCTTACTTCCCCACAGGAGTAAACACATCCACACACGAAGAAAAAATACTTCTTTTAAGTCCAGAGCTCAGAGAAGGTTGTGATCTATAGATCTTTAAATATGGGACAATCCACAAAATAAAAGCATTTTCAAGACCAAAGACTATAAATAAGGAGCAAGACATTAAGGCCACCCATCTCTTGTACCAACCCTCTCTGGAAGTCAAAGGTGTGACACTAAATTGCAGTTAGGTAGATGGCACAACGACTCAGAAGGCTGTTTGTCCCATCACAACTTCATGGATGGGGAGGGATGCAAAGAGGAGCAGGCAAAAATGAGCATCTGGAAAGTGGGTTCAACTTGAGAGAGCGGGAGGATACACAACCACGGTGGAGCTGGCTGTGCAGAGGGGCCAAGCCCATGGTCTGCTGGTGCAGGAGGAGGGAACCAAGTGGCTAGGTGGGGACCTAAGGTGGATGTGTTTCCAAGTATCTGACGCTCACAAGAAAGCTGCTCTTCCACTGTGGGAACCTCTGTATTGGCACTTAGTACCAGGAAATCCAATAAAGCTGGAAATTACAGGGCATACATATTCTATTAACACCAACTCTTTATTTGCACTGTAGCTGTGAACCATTTAATTATATGGTTCAAGAAAAAAAAAAAAGGCACCAGGCTGAGGCAGAATAATTACATGTGGAGACTCAAGTTGCTCTTCATGGGGGAAAGAACCAACCTATTCAGGTACTCTAGCTTCACCAGATCAAGTCATTCATTTTTCTTAATCTTAATGTGCTACGTCACCTTGGTTCCCATACAAAGTAAAGCCCCACCCAACTGATGGTTTGAACTTTCCACATTACCTTGATGTCACCATCCATGGTCAGGGTAAAGCTTAGAGAATTCTCACCATAGCTGTCAATGTGGATATCTGGTGGTGGAATCACTGAAAACAAAAGGGAATTCAAAGAGTAACCTCGCAATGAAAAGGGAGGAAGGCAGAATTCAGTTTTCAACTCAACAGACAAAGCCATCTTTCAGTTGGGGAAGAAAAGGCACTTCTTCAGCTGTCTTTACTATCTCTATACCACTGTTACCCTGAAGCTGAGGTTGGGCCCACCATTGCCTGGTGTATACACAGCAATCTTGGCTCAGTCGGGAAATTAGGTCAAGCAGAAAAGTTCCATTATGTAACCGTCCCAAGCAGCCTGGCTTCAACCTGTTTCTTAAGGTGAAGAGATCACTGTGAGCACCACCTTTACTGGCACTGACACAGTCCCAGCAGCCTCAACCCCTTTTGGAAGGATGACAATGAGATGAATCAGAAATGATAAACAGATGTGCTGCAAAATAAGAATGTGGCCTCTGGAGTCAGCAAACTTGAGTTCAAAGTTCTGTTTGCTGATATTTAACAGCTGGGTAATCTGGGGCAAGTGACTTATCTCCTTTGAGCCTAAAGATACACATTTCTATGAATGTATAGTGTCTACCACTTAACTCATGATCCCTTTCTAATAGTTTCATTTATGGAAGATTAAAGAGCTTGTAAGCAACTGGCACTATCTAAAAGATCAGAGCTCAATCTGAGAGCTGAGGTAGGCAAGGAGAGAGCAGTCCAGAGAAAAGACCACCCTTAGGTCAACAGATCAGCATGGTGCAATCATTGGAAGGTCTGCCCACAGAAATCTGTCACTGCTGAGGCCAGCGTAATTCAAGATGGTCCCACTGGATATGTGTGACCAGAAGACACCATTTAAATGAATGTGTTTATGAGATTCTCAGCACATATGTCCCTTATATAGGAAAGGCTAGAGAGATTCAAAGTAGTGGGTAATATCTGGTGGCAAAAGAGATGTGTCAAAATCTGCAGGAGTCCCTCCAAATGATAAACAGATCATGAAACTGGGCTTGAGGAAAACACAATAACCAGAAGAAAGAGTGTGAGAAGTTTCAGAAATCCAAATCAGAGTCCAACAGCAAGGATGTTGTGTTAAAGCCAACTCAAATTAAAATCATGGTGATCAGAGACATGTCACAATTTTCTTCAAAGCCCAGTTTCTTCAGCTACTAAATGAGGATAAAAATACTTATCTCTATGAACTGAAGTAAACAAGAAGCATGGTGCTTACTGTACCAAAAGAGCTCATTAACAGGTGGGTCCTCCATGGCTGTTATTACCAATCCTCCACATTCGCTAATGAATCTGCATTCTGGCTGATACCATTGCTGCCTTTGACCTTCATCTTCTTATGTTATGATCCCAGGTCACAGATATCTCACAATACTTGTTGACACAGCACAGTTGTTTCTGTACCTACTCTAACCAAAACCCATGTGAGGAGCTGAAACTCATCAAAATCAGAGAGAAAAAGCTTAAGAAAAGCAACCACCCCCTGAGATTTTTAAGTGCAGGTAAGACTTGTGCCTACAAAGCTCAAGGAAGTCTCTCGCTTTACAAAAATCCCTTCTATTAGGTACAGATGGCCAGAATGTTTTGAACCAGATTTTTTGGAGAGAAAGAATACGCCTAAAAACTAATGGATGGTGAATCCAGCAGCATGCTTTCTCCAACACCTACAAGCATTCTGCCTATCACAATCGACTGGCAGTGCTAAGTCTGGCTGCCTTGTGCCCTGACCTCCACATTGCAGATTTTAGAGGGGATCAGAGTGACTCTTGATGTCTCAGAGCTTTTGTCTCACAGGCTCTGGGTAAAGCAAAGTCCCCCAATCATGTTCCACACCACAGAGTTCATGTGATTTTTATATTTCCAAGTCCAAGAATGAAAGTCCTTGGTGCCATGGCTGAGAAAAACCATTCAGAAAGATGAGCTACTGTCCATCTCCCAACATGTACCAGAACCCTCAGATGCTTCAGTTCACTTACACACCAACACTGTTTTCTTTGATACTAGTGACAGAGTGGAGAAAACAGACCAGAACTCAGTCCTCATGAGGCACACATGCAAAATGACAAGCCAGCCACCCCAGCAAGCAGAGAAGCCCAGTGGGTCACACGTGGCTCAGCCTAGAGGGTAGCGTGTAGCATGATGGTTAAGAAACAGCACAGGCTTCAGAGTCAGGCATGTCAGGTTCCAGTCCCAAGCATGTCACTCACTGATTGTGTGGCCTGCGGGAAGTGACATCCTCTTTCCACTTCTTGCCTAATCTGGTAGCTGTTCTAAAGGATCAACTAGGTGAGCTGATGTACACAAAAGAGTGCACACTCAGAATGCCCAAGGTCAGCCCTAATGCTAGAAACCACCATTGACAGTTTGTCGGTGTGAGTGGGAGAAGTCGCAGACCCCAGCGTGGACCTTTCTTTAAGACACCACAAACGAACATGTACAGAACCATCTCCATCTTTAGTGAGAAGGAGGACTCCTTCTATTTAGCTATTATACATGTTCATAAAAGGATGGGCCTGCTGGCTTTGGAAATCCCTTCAATTCTAGGAGGAGAAATACACTCAATAGTTATGTAAAAAGACTTCTGCTATCTAAAGCACCTGGAGATACCCAGAAGTGTGCATGTGCTGGGGAGAAAGAAGCTGTGTGAAGTTTTCTAATCTACGCTGCTCCTTTCCAGTCATACTGAAGGTCATTTCCAAAGGGCTCCTATCTTCTCTAAATCTGCAAATGCTGGTAGAATCATTTACCTTTTCCTTTTATGGTGGTAATGGATTTAGAATCGCTCCAGTTTCCTATTCCACGACTAGTCACCGCAGCCACCTTTTCAAATTAGAGTGTGAATTAGTATGAAATAAAGGCAATAACACCATATGGCAAGAATTCTAAATGAGCTAAAGGGGTGAAATTTTGGCAATGAGGGTGGAAAAAATTATATAGAGAGTGACCTGTGAAGTTCAGGGGTCCCAGCAATTGAAATGAGGGGGGGAAGAAACAAAGGGAAGGAGCCTGGGCAAAGTAAATCATGATAGTCCCAAGATTATAAAATTGCTCTTGATAGACACATGTCAAGGTTTTTCTAATGGCCAGTGTGTATGTATGGGTATCCAAGTTCTAAATGCACAGATATATAATAGGGGTATTGGGGAAATTAGTACAAGAGGGTTTCTGGAGGTGGTGCATGTAATGGTCTCAAACATGCTTTACACAAAAATCTATCTTCTGTTAAAGGTAACATTACATGTCATAAGAACCTCACAAAATCAGTTTATAAATGCCATTTATCAATAGCTCTGCCTCACCCTGGGGCTAAAGATAAGCAGAAAAGGATATGTGCAAAAGTTATAGGTGCTGGAAAGCTAGCAGAAAATCTGGTTACAAGCTGGGAAAGCCGCATTGCCTAAGTGCTTGATTATCTGTGGGAAGTCTGCTTCCCTCCTCAGGACAAGGAGCTGGGTATTTTATGGACTAACAATACGCACTCTTAAAAGTAAGCACGGAGTGCTCATGAAATGGAGACATGTCTCTAGTTTCCAAGACTGACCAGAGGGCCAGGATAGCTGTGAATACTCACTCTGACGGTGTACAGAACGTTGACCAGTAAGTTCTTTATTTCTGTAGAGTTACTAGCAGCTCTCTGGGAGGCCCACATCTTAGAACCACTTCTGCTGTATTCTACCTAAAATGAGAAGGAAAAAATGATTAAAAATAACCAGAGGTCTAGAACACCCTATTATCTTATAAAGTGGCAGGTCAGGAAAGGAGAAAGTGGGGTACCAGATGTTCTGACAGGTGGGTCATTATCCACAAAATTATGGCAAATCAACACAGAAATCTCTATCACCCTGACATTCATGTCCTCTCCTGGAAGGTACTTACAATGTACTCACGAATGAGACCGTGGGTGTGGATGGGAGGAGTCCAGTGGCCAACAATCACACCTTCTGCTTCCCTGTGGAGTGATAGCTGGAGATTTCGAGGGGCATCTGGCACTATAAAAAGAGGCAACTTGCAAGTCAAGCTATCCCTGTGTGCAGAAGACATGATCTCATACACAGATCACAAGAGTCTCTGGAGGGTGCAAAAAACTACTGCAAGTGCTAAATGAATTCAGTAAAGTTGCAGGATACAAGATCAACATACAAAACTGGTAGCATTTCTTCAAACCACCAACAAACTTGCTTGAAAAGAAATTAAGAAATCAATCTCATTTACAATAGCAACCAAAAATTAATAGATAAATATAAGAAATAAATTTAACTAAGAAGGTGAGGTAAAAGAGCTCTACAATGAAAGCTATAAAATACTGATGAAAGAAACTGAAGAGGACACACATGCACGCGAGCGCACACACACACACACACACACACAGAGACATTCATGAACTGGTAGAATTAATATTGCTAAAATGAACATACTACCTAAAGCAATCTACAGATTCAGTGCAATCTCTATCAGAATACCAACAATGTTCTTCATATTAAAAGAAAAAAAAATCCTTCTAAAATTTGTATGAAGTCATAGAAGATCCTAAGTGGCCAAATGTACACACACACACATACACCAAAAACAAACAAACAAACAAACAAAAACCCCACAAAGCTGAATGCATCGCAAAGCTTTAGAAATCAAAAGAGTAAGGCACTAGCATAAAGCATAAAGAGAGACACACAGACCAACAGAACATAGAATCTAGGAGTGAGTCCACATATTTACACCAACTGATGTTTGACAAAGGCCCTAAGAACATACAATGAAGAAAGGATAGTTTCTTCAATAAATGGTGCTTCGATAAATGGATAGTTTCTTCAATAAATTCATGTGCAGAAAAATGAAACTGGATTTCTTTCTGTCTGAAACAGATCCAAGACTTAAATGTAATATTCCCCAAACTATGAAACTAAAAGAAAACACAGGGGAATACTTTAGCACAATGGTCTGGGCAAAGAATCCGTTTTAATAATATGACCCAAAAAAAACACTGCCACAAAAGTAAAAATTTAGAGGTTACATGTCTCATTTGTCAAAAAAACAGTAACAATAAAAATCTTCTACGGAATAAATAAAATAATTATTAGAGTGATGGGACACCCTATTCATCCAACAAGGAAATTAATAGTCAGAATACACAAAGACTTCAACAATTCAAATGCAAAAAAAAAAATCTGATAAAAAATGGTTAATTAGACATTTCTCAAAAGAACATATTCAAGTGGCCAACAAGTAAATTTTTTTAAAAAAAAAGCTAATCTCTAATCATCAAGGAAATGATAATCAAAATCACAATGACGTATCATGTTACCCCAGTTAGAACGGCCATTATCAAAAGACAAAAAATTTAAAATGCTGGCAAAGATACAGAGAAAGGGTAATTCTAAGCTGCTGGGGGGAATACCACAAATCAATGCAGTCATTATGGCAAACAGCATAGAAGTTTCTCAAAAAAATTACCAACAGAACTACCCCAAGATCCAACAAGCCCACTCCTGAGGAGAAGCCAAAGAACAGGAGGGAATCAATATGTCAAAGAGGTTCCCACACTCCCGGGTTCACTGCACACTATTCACAACAGACAAGATATGAAACCAACCCAGAAGCCAGGTGAGGAATGACTGGATAAAGAAAACACGGTTTGTACACACACACGCACACACACGCATACACAATGGAATATCATTAAACCACAAGAATGAAATTAACAACATGAATGAGCCTAGAGGACATTATGTTAAGTGAAATAAGCCAGGCGCAGCAAGACAAATACTGCATGTTCTCGCTTACATACAGAAACTGAAAAACTAAAAACCTCATCTCCTAGTGGCAACCAGAGGCTGAGGAGGATGGAGGGTGAGGGAAAGATGCAAAGTGGTGAGCAGATACACAGTGCAGCTGGACAGAAGGACAGCACAGCAGGGTAACTATGGATAACGACGACTAACTGAGTATTTCAAAACAGGTAGTAGAAGGAGACTAAATGTTCCCAACACAAAAAAACAACAAATGTCTGAGGTGACGGATAAGCTACCATCACCTATCATATAATATCATTACATATTATATCCACGTATTGAAATGTATACCCCACAAATATGGACACTTAATCTTGTACAAATTATATTTTAAAAGAGAGTTAACTTCCGAATCACATAGTGGTCAGCTAGAAGAATTTTCCTGAGCTTAAAACAAAAATAAGAGGGAATACAGATTGGTAGTTAAAAAAAAAAAGAAAGAAAGAAAGAAAGATATATAAATAGAAAAAAGACCAGTAGAATAGAGGAAAGGAAAGTGAGTGGGAGAAGGAGGGAAAGAGGAAGCACTTAATACTGAATGGGAGAAAATTGTATTCTATGCTTATATGTCAAAATGAACCTCAATATTATATATAATATTATATACTCTAATTTAAAAAAAACACACATTATGTCCCAGAAATACAAAAAAAGGAAAAAGAAGGAATCTTTTTCCTTCTAGAAAAAGAAGGAATCTAGGTACTGAGACCTACCCACTATGAAGTCTGTTAGCTTATTTTCTCTACTTTGACAAGATACATTTCCTATTCTTCCAGATTGTAAGGTATGCTGTCCACACATCAGATCAGGGCTCAGTCGAGTCCGATGGTCACACGTCCACAGGGCTGCAGGATGGGATCACCTGGCAGGCCGAGTCACCACTGCCCTGGACTTCAATGCTGTGATCTTAATTGTCAATGACAGCCCCTGCTGCCTCAGCCTCGCATACCACAGAACAGACCCGTGGGCATGACTGTCAAGGAATAAGGCTAATTCTAACATCACAGAAATTCTACATCCAAATGAATATGGTCACCACCAGAACAGACTCCTTAATGAGTGATATGTATTCAAGATACTTCAGGCAACAGGGAAAATGAAGAGAACAAGCAGATCATCATCAAGTGTGCTACTCTGAAAGGAGAAAGCAGGGAGTTCTCTCAGAAACATGATTTTGGCAAATTTCTTTAAAGCTTAGTCACAAAACTACTGACATGCCTCTTATTTCAATGACGATGAGGTCCTAAGCAAGGGAAATGACATGACAAGAGACACAAGAGGGCCATGGTGGAGAGAATCCTATCTTAGGGTGCAAGAGCATCCTCTGCCATGCTAAGAATAAATGTTAAACAGCTCAGGCAAGACCACAGAACTTAGCCACAAGACTTCTGCACAGATAAGGCACAGGTAAGTATGTCTCCGCATTCCTGAGCATCCATGGAAAAACCTGTTCAACATCCCACATGAGGTCTTGTAATTGCCACAAAGATAAGATTATAACTTACACCCTTCTGGAGTCCGCAGGGTCACAAAGTCATTGGTGTTGTGCGCCTTGCTCAGACATTGAACCTGTACTTTAACTTGATATGTGGTGTCAGGTTTCAAGACTTTCAACACAGTGTTTGTTTTGTTGCTGTGAGTCTCCAGAGTCTTCCATATGCTCTCTCCAACCACCCTGGCCAAAACAACAAAGATAGTGTCTCAGCCAAGTGGCATAGATGGCTAATCAAGAGCCCCAGAATGATTATCACAAGAGAATTTACGGATCATCCAGTGGCAACAAGGACCACGGCAGAGATGGGACCCACCTGTAGTAGACAGTATATACACAAGAAGCAGATGGCATTTTTTTGGGCCTCATCCAGGTCAAAGTTACATCCCCAGAGAAGTCAGCTGTCCACTGAAGATTCTGTACTTTGTATACAGTTAACTCATCTGAAGAGATAAGGAGTAAAGTTATATCTTATAAATTCTCAAATTTCAAAGAACCCCGGCTTTTAAGCAGGGCTGCTGCATTCTAAATTGTCAGGAGATCACAATCACTGACTGAAAAGAAATTCCAGAAAATATAGCTCACACCTCCCTCTACAATCTTCCCTAGGGTTCCCATATTTCCAATCATGTTATTGTTCCTGGCATTTCACCTCCTTCCTGCCCAAGGCAATTTAAACTTTATTCTAAAGGAGAACATTGCAAGTTCATGGACAATGCCATAGCAGGATGTACCACTAAATACTCTCCAGGGAGGAGTGAGTTAACCCCATCAGCAGTTTGAGGCTCTGAGAAAGCAGTGGCATATCAGCAAAAGGCAAGAAGTCTGTTGAAGATAAATCCAAGACCAGCCCCTTCACCAAAAGGTAGGAGGTAGAGGGAAGTTATATCAGAGATGGGCCAGGCCTCAGCTCACTTAGTGCCACGAAGCGGGGGCACAAATCCATTTCAGTTCCAGATTCTGTTTTGTGTTTTGCTGTGCTAGGGATGGAATTCCAGGCCTTGCATATGCTAGGCAAGTGCTCCACCACTGAGCTGTGCCCCAACCCTCATTTTCAGACTTAGGGAAAGTTCTAGAAGCTCCAAGCTAGAAGCACCCACAGTGTGCAAGTTACTCACCACTGCAGGCCGCCTCGTCACTCTCATCCGAGCAGTCCAGGAAGCCGTCACAGCGCTCCGAGAGTACAATGCAGGCCTCACCATCCTCACACTTGAACTCTCTGCTCATACAGGTCAAGGTGCTGTGTGTGGCTGAAACACAAAGAGCCTTCCTGAACCTGGGGAAGGACCAATTTGCACCGAAGGTCCAGGTTCACCCATAGTTAGAAAAAGTAGTTTGAATTCTTTCAGCTAATCAACTTCTGCTTCAAAATACCTTTCTGTAATGTGGAGGAGAACGTGCACCAGTGACACTGCACCATCTGACTCATTGTTAACAACTGGATCTCCCTTCAGGAAGGATGTGAGACTTGGAGGCAAACTAGGGTTTAAGTCTTCATTCTGTGTAAGCTTGAGCAAGCTGCTTAATATCACCAAGGTGCAGTTCTCCTATGAAAAGTGGGTGACAATTCTACAGCTATTGGGTCTGCAGGGAGCTAGTGAGATCAAGCACCTAAGTGGTTCCTGGCAGGTACCAACAAGCTGTAGCTAGAACTCCACAGTACTAATTACTCTGTTTTATTCTTAGATCCTAGAATGACACTCTGACTTTTGGCTTGAGTAATAAAAATAATGAGATGTATCACAATAATGTTGAGAGGTGTGCCCACTTGATGAAGTATTTTTAATTGTGTAAGTTTCAAAATATTTTCATAGAAAAAGAAGTAATGCAAAATAAAGGTAAAGTCAGTTAAGAGTTATGTAACTATAGCAGGCTACTAACTAAAACTTCATCTTCTCTCCAGCATGGAAGGCTCTAGAAAGGCAGTGGTAACAATGCAATTGCAAATGACACTAAAGGAAGAGTAAAGGAGGGAATGGCGATGGGGAGCAAATCTGCTGCCCAAGGATGATCAGGGTCAGGCCCAGATGCAGGTACTTCAGGCCTTCATTATCCAGACCCAAGCTGCCTACCCCAGCCCAGACAAGGAAGGGCTATGCCAGAGACCCAAAGTCAGCATCTAAAATTAACCTTGCACTTCCAAGTCAAAGACTTTCACATTCTCATTCCTGGAACCTGCCGGTAAGTTACTTTGCTTAGCAAAAGGGGCTTCACAGATGCGATTAAATAAAGGACTTTGATGAAGGAAGTCCGGTCTGGATTTTTAGATGGTCCCATGTAGCCACATGGGTTCTTCAAGGTGAGACCCTTTCCTGGATGTGGCCAGAGGCAGATTTTGTAAAGACAGTAGGAGGGTCCCAGAGATCCAGCGCTGCTGACTCTCAGGTGGAGGCAGAAGCCATGAGCCTCTAGAGGGCAGCCCCAGAAACTGACAAAAGCAATGAAACAGATTCTCCCCTAGAGCCTCCAGAGGAACTGCCCTGCCGTCACCTTGGTTTTAGCCCAGTGACACTGTGTCAGATTTCAGACTCAGAGAACTATCAGAAAAATAAAAGTGTTGTTCCATGATACTCTGTCTGAGGTAATTCATTACAGTGGCCGGAAAACCGATATGCACTCTAGCCCCTGTGTTTGTCCAGATCTTATGTTGGGATTCTATCTTGGTTTCCTGAGCCCGGACTATAACTTCTCCATTGGGATTCAGGAACAAAACTCGTGGTAGCTCTTACCCTCCATCCCATGTGCAAATAAATACATGCACTCTACCATACATGACTATACCATTTGTATCAACATGATGAACCATGCCTACACTCCAGGTTTAAAAAAAAAAAAAAAAAGCTTCATCTAAAATAGTTTAAATCAATTTCTTTAATCACACTCTCTAAATTCTATTCCAGGGTATTAATAGAAAAAGAAATTACCAAAAGGACTTCTCAGTCACTGTAGTCATCTAAGAGCAAAGAATCAACAGCAGTAATTCTTTAACAGTCTCCTAAGGAACTTCTAAAGTGTACAGACTCCTGGACTTGCCCCAAACCTCCTGTAGTAGAGCATAGTAGGAGCTCAGCAGATGAATTATTTAAATGCTCCCGTGTGAATCAGGAAAATTGGCCAGGCTGAGAACCTCTGCTGGCCGGAATCACTCTTTGAGTCAGAGGTAGAGAAATTGCATAGTGTTCATAGGAGAACCACCAGGATGGTCAACAGAAATGGATAAAGGATCCAGGAATATTTTCTTAGAGGCAAAAAGATATGAGGATTGCTAGGGAGAAAGGTAGTGAGAGCAGGAATGGAACACTTAACAATTGTTCTCAATTGATGAATTTTCATACAAAAGAATTAATAACACTGCATGAGTCTCTAGGATGGTTTCAGCTTAGTACTTGCTTTAAAAAAAAAAAAAAAGTTAATACAGTGCAGTGGTTCCACACCATTTGCAGAAGATTGGCTGGAGGATCCCTGCAGACACCAAACTCCAAAGATGCTCAAGTCCCCTATATAAAATGGCACAGTTTGTGCATATAACTCACACACATCCTCTTGTATACGTTAAATCTTCCCTAGATTGTTTATAATACTTATTGCAATGTAAATGCTTTGTAAATCAGTATTATACTGTTTCGTTTATAGAATAATGACAAGAACCAAAGACTATACATGTTCAGTATAAATACATTTTATGTATGTATGTAAATACATATTTTTTTTCACTCCACAATTATTTAAATAAACAGATACAGAATCTGCAGATACAAAGGGAGAAGGGAACTACAAAAACCACTTATGAGGCTCTTCACAAACCATAATCCCACACTTCAAGAAAATCATTGTATTACAGAAATCTATTATACACTGAGCTGAAAATGGTTTGTCTTGGGGCGGGGGGCGGGTGGACAACTGCATTACATATACAAGCATACTGGAGTTCTACAAAAAAGTTGAAGAACCACTGCTGTAACAGTCTCAGGATCCCAAGACAGACTTCACCCTCCCATGCACTGAGCATTAAAGGAGGTCCTGCAGGCATCAGGAACAGCTCCAGGCACTAAGAACATGTATAGGAAAGACAAGGCACCTATTGTCAAAGAGATTATCTTCTCTTGAGAGAAGCTACAAACAAGCCAACCAACAAATAAGTCATTTCAGATAATGTAAGAGCCACAAAAGAACATAGAGTAATGGTGTCTGAGTTAAAGGGGCGGGCAGTGACGCCACTTCATACAGGACAGTCAGAGAGGGATACTGCTCAGAAGGGGACCACTTGGAAAACACA